CACCACCACTCCCCTGCCATTTCCCTACTTTCCCTCCCCCATGCCTGCCCACCACCGCTGCCATTGCTTCCCAGCCACCACTACTTCCACTCTCCTGCTGTCATTGCTTTCCACAGCCCCCCCAGTGCTCCCCCCCGCCAGTGCTCCTCACTCCCCACTCACAGCCCTCCTACCCCCCAGCCCTGGTGGAGGGGGCCCCCAATTGCCATAGCTATAGGGCCAGGGACCTGGGTCTGCAGCCCTCTGCTCCCCCAGCAGTGCCTAAGCCCTGGCTGCCTCCTGCAGGAGGCAACAGAGCATGGAGCCCAGTTCCCCTTCCCCAGTGGGTGGCACAGCTGGAACAGAGCCCATGGAAGGGGGCAGATGTGGGCTGTCCACTGCGGTCTCAGGCTCCCCTCCCTGCTGCCTTCCCCCCAGGGCCTCTGGGGCCCAGTGGGTGGGACCTGGCATGACAGGGCAGAGCGGGGCCAGTCAGGGAAATTTGTTGCCACCCCTGGGAGTCCTGCACTGCCATGATGATGCAACCCCTGCCGGTCCAGCAGCAGCAAGGGGCACAACCCCGCACTACCACCCCCAGTGTTGCCAGGTGGACTAGGGGGACTTTGCCAGGGCGGCATGGGGCTCACAGCAGCAAGGAGCTTCCCCGCCTGGCTCTGCTTTACCCCGCCATGCCAGGCCTCACCCACTAGGCTGTAGAAGCCCCAGGGAGAGGGCAGGTAGCCTGAGACTACAGAGGGCAGGCCACCTCTCCACCCCACGCACAGAACTCAGGGGCACATGCCCCCTCTGGTCCTTGCAGAGTGCATGCAGCAGTGGAGACACAGCCCCCCTCCCCCACCACAACCCGTGGACAACCAGCCACAGCCCCATCTTGCTCCATTCCGAGGCCCTGTGGCTGCACATTCAGGCCTCAGCCCCCAAGCCCCGTGCACCACCCCAGTTGGGTAGTAGCCCCAGTCCTGCCCAACTCCCTCCCTCACTCCATCCCCCCCCCCACCCCAGACTTACCTGGCAGCCATGTGCATGTGTGCGTGTGCACATGCAGATGGCGCCCCCTGCCTGACCAGCCATCTCCTGCTCCCCCAGCCCCTTGCAGGCTGGAACTCCTGGCCCTGCGGAGAGCTCTCTGCAAAGGTGGAAAATCCACATTTCTCTGTTAAAATGAAAAGTCCACATTTTTCTTGGTTAAAATTAAAAATCCACAGTTTGTTCATTTTTTTCACAGGAAACGGAAAGCCTGGATCCCTGCTTATCATGGATGATGAGCCTCTGTATTTTAAAAAGCTTGTCTTTTTGTTTTTTAGCTTGGGCCTTAGAGGTCTCCTTTGGTGGGCTTAAAAAGGAATAGTAGATGAAAATTTATTTCATTGCAAAAAATGTTATTGAAAATGCAGGATTTCATGCAACTCAGATTAAGCATAGTCGTTATGGCATATAGCTGTCTCTGAATTACTATCCCCTTAGGTGATGCACAATCACTTGTGCATGAACAACAACATTTGTATCCATTACACAACAATTGCTAAGGGATAGCTGGAAAGTATTTGAAAGGTTTTTAATACATCTGCCGTCTTGGTATTGCTGTAATGCAGCATTTTGGGAATTTTAAGGATAATTCTGGTGTTCTGTTCCCCAGGAGCACTTTTGAATTGACACAACAGTATTAAACAGTTTTAAATAAAGTCATAGTACTGTAAACGTACTGCTTAATTTGATCTTCAACAAAAGGAATGGGGCTGAAATCAACACTGGTTGACTGACTTGTCTTGCTAAGGATGTAGGATTCATTGGTTTTACCAGTGGGATATGAGCTATTCTGGAAGTAAGGTTAGCCACATCTTATATAACGTAATAAAAAGGGAAAATAAAGTACACAATAAGAAGCTGATAGCAGCTTTTTTAACGTTCATAAGTAAAGTTAATTAAGATTGGAAAACATATTAATGTATGTCTCCACATCACAGAGAAAATGGTTTTTAAAAGTAACAGAGTAAGGAATCAAAAAGTTTCTCTAAAATTATTTATATTTATTATGCTAAATTATGTATATTATAATTATGTTCCTTTTTTACCACAATAGTTAAAGTGCATCACTAGTCTTCTCACACATCTGCAATTTTTAATAGTTTTTTGTAAGGTGAATATATTGGGCATATTATCATTTTTCTCACATATCACATACCCCCAAATAAAGCAACCTTATTTTAGGAAGGAAGAATGAAGAACAAAAAAGATTTTCCACCACTGTTAGCTGTTCAGCCCAGTGCTGAAACTGTAGTTGCTCCTGAAGACAGGACTTCAGGGGCAGAGATAGGAATTTTAAAAAAGCTAAAAACAGGTTGCTAGGCTATGATAGGAAAAGAAAGACAGGAGTGATAGGAGACCAGACAGCAAAATGGGGGAAGGAAGGATAGCTTGATTAGTGGAACATCAAGAACATTAAAAAATTGAGATGGTCATTAACATCTGTGGAGTGAAGACCAGTCAGCAGAAATCAGGTAGATAATAATGAGCCATTAAGTCAGTTTACCATCAGTACTGTCTGAATAGAAATGCCACTGCTGCTGTGCTTGGACAAGTAGTTTTAAACTTTTGGTAGATCGAGAATCAAAGGAGTGTACACAGTACTGTACCATCCCCCACCCTCTCCACATCTGCCTCTGCTGTACACTAAACAGCAGCCATTTACAGCATCTCCATGCATCTATTATAGACAGAAAAATAAGCTTCCCTGTTTAAGATATACACCCCAATTTTGAAAGGCTAATTTTTGGGGGGGAAAGTGAATATGGTATGTGAGTAAACATGGTAATATCTGTTTTTATTGCAGTATTTGTTAGCAATGTCATACAAAGGCAAATACTCCTATGTGCTAGGCATTGTAAAACACACACCAAAGAGATTGTTCCTGCCCCAAAATATTTGCAGTTTTATGGAGTTCAAGATTTTGCTAATATTTTATGAAAAAGCAGATTACAGTTTCAGTTTTCAAAACCACACATTTTTATTAAAATTTTCATCCTGTAAGACATTGTCTGGTTTTGATGTTAAGTGTGATGCATGTTTTCTTTGCAGTTTACGTGTGAACTTAGACATGGGCAAAGCAGCCTATGGGTGGATGATTATGAAGGATGACAATATACCTGGAACAGTTGTCCGAACCAGCACCATACCAGAAGAATTGGGTCGTTTAGTATATTTGCTAACGGATAAGACAGGTACATGACTTTTTGTGTGTCAAAATTTTATTTATATATTAATTTAATTTATTTTGTAACAAATTAGATGACTTGCTAATGGTGGTTGGATTGTTTCAATTTGATTAGATTTCACTTCATTTGGGGGGTTTTGTTGTTTGTTTGTTTTTATGCATGTGTTTTATGTTTGATTAGATCAGGCCCTATGAGATTTGACCTACATTACTAAGCATGGAACTAACTTCTATGGGTACTTACAGACATTCAGGCTAGGGACAGACATTCAAAAGTCCCGAGCCTGAATTGATTAAATCTTTGCAGGTTAGTCTAACCTGCAGAGAGTGAACTGGTTTCCAAGTGGATAGATGTTCTCTTTTCATTCCAGAAATGCAGGCACATGCCTGCAGTGGCTTAGGCCAGAAGCCTGGGGGCACTAGAGCAGCCCTCCCTTCCCTTTCACAGAGAAGCTGAGCTGAGCAGGGGTGGGGGTCAGACCTGGGCAGGCCTGAGTAAGACTGAGGAGGGGTTTAAACTTCAACTTTGGTCTACAAGGTGCCAAGGGTGGGAGAAGAGGGAGTCTGGCCACGCCACTGTGGTTGGGGAGGAGGAGGAGGGAAGAGCTCTGCCCGCCCCAGAGGCTCCCTGACAACCGGGAGCAATCCTGACATGCAGGGCTGCCTGGCCCCAACCAGGGGAACTCTTCCCCTTCCTCCCACTCCCCCAATGCTGCAGGGTAGGGGGGTAACTCATTTCAGTGCTGGGGGGGCTCTTTCCCCTTCTCCCGCCTCCCACCACCATGAGGTAGGTAGTGGGGCTCTGCGGGGTTGCCTAGCACCAGAGGGGAACTATTTCCCTGCTTCTCCATTACAGCTGCAGGGCAGGGAAGGGGGATCTATGCCAGGCTGTTCAGCCCCAGAAGGGGACTCTTCCCTCCGCTCCTCCATGGGGTGGGGAGCCGGGTCTGTTCATTGATGGGAGAGGGACTCTTCCCCCTCCTTCTCCCTCCCACCCACCGCCACTATGATGTGAGGAGAAGGTCTCTTTGTGGTGCAGCCCAAGTGGGGTGCCAGGAGCAGCTGTCACTGAGTCACAGCTGCCGAGGGTGGCCCCTCCCCTGTGCCCTGAACTGCCCTTGCTCAGCCCTGGCCAAGGCAGCTGCAAGGTCTTTCTGGGCCAGGCCACCGAGGTGGAGCCATCCCGGCAGCTGTGGCTCAGTGACAGGGACATTGAGCCTTGTCAGTGAGCGCAGCCCTACCCGGCCTGGCCCAGCCCAGTGTGTGGCCAGTGGCTGCTAGCCAGGCCAGCTCAGAGGCACCAGAAGGCCCAGAACCCAGCAGCCACCCACCATGGGGGCTGGTAGCACACCCGTGAGCCCCTGGGGCACCTCTGAGATGGCCCGGCTAGCAGCCATCTACTGCGCACTGAGCCCGGCTGAGCTTGCTGACAGGGCTTAACGTCCCTGTCACTGAGCTGCACCTGCCAGGGGTGGCCCTGCCCCCATGGCCTGGCCCATCCAGACCATGCAGCTGCCTCAGCCAGGGCTGAGCAAGGCCAGATGTGGCCACGTAGGCGGGGCCACCCCTGGCAGCTGCAGTTCCATTACAGCTGCTCCCCGTGCCCTGGCTGGGCGAAGCCACGCCATGGAGCACTGCACAGAGCGCCCCCCCACACACACACACACACCCTGTGGCAGAAGAGGGTAAGGGGAGAAGGGGGGGGAAGAGTCCTCCCCAGCATGGAACAGACCCCCCCCCCCACCCCATGGCAGGGAGGGTGGGGGGGAGGAGATGGATTACTCCCCCCACTCAGCACTGAACAGAACCCTCCTCCTTGCCCTGCAGGGGGAGGAGGGGG